TGTAGTTTGAGAGATAATATAATTTTCAATATGTACTGAATCTTGCCATTATTTCTGAATTTGCAAAATGTTGCCTGCATTTGCCCTCATAATAGCCATTCTGACACGATCCTGAAACTGTACTTTCAAAACAACCAAGCTCAGAGAACCCCAAGGACTCCACAGTTCAACCCTGAGCTACAAATATTCTCTTCTATTGAAACTCAATGTTGCAGATAAATGCAAATCACAATACACCAATTTGAGTCTTAGTTCTAAATTGGAACTAACTGAACTGGAGCATATGAAGAGAAAAAGCAGCTCATAGTTACATAGTTAGGGTTAAATCAAAAGCCATCTGATATAGAGATAGTTGTTTTAGCTCTGTTTATATTATAATCCTGAAATGCCTTTGATGAGATAGAAGAAAAGCTACATATGCTATTTGGAAGTAAGTCCTGCTAAATTTATTTAAGAATGAATTGAAACTTAGTAAAGGAAAATGCTTAGTTCTTTATTAAAATTAGAAGAAGACATATACCCTTTTTTTCTATGTAATAGTGAGAACTAATTTAAGGATGATGTCAAAACAGACACAGTAACTTCAAATGTTGATGTTGTATATGTAATTACAATAATATTAAAAAATAAATGTAATTACCTCTTCCTTTTCATGAAGCATAATATGAGCTTTAAGACTAGCCACTCTTGAGAATTTTTTGTTGCAAACAGGACACTTAGGATCTTCCCCATTGTGGGTACATTTATGCAATGTAAGATTGAACTCAACATTAAACGACATTGGACACTGGTCACACTGATGAGGCTATTGTGAAAAAGAAAAGTGAAACAATATTTAGGCCCATTGAGGAGGGAATAAAAAGTAATTATTCTAAACTCTCCTGGAAATGATGTCATCCCTGACAGTACAGTGTGTGTATATGTTTATATACAATCATGTTTTATAAACCATCTACATGTACATATCCTGAAGTCCAAATGAAACAATCCATTATCAAACTTTTGTCCATAGTGTAACTGAACTTTAAATATTTCCTTTTAAAATATTATCTTACTATAATCTCAGATTTCTAATTTCCAGTATAAATTTCAGAACAAATATATTAATGTTTTATAATCCTTATAAATTGTTTATAGGTAGATAAAAAAATCTAGACAAAGTTTAGGTTTTTATGTATTGTTTCTTAGCTCATCAAAGGATAGTACAATAGCTAAGACCTTGTTATTGCTAAAATTGGAATAATAAAACATCCCTATAAAATGAGTTTCTTTGCTGTTTTTCTGGAATACATATAAGGGAAAGGAGAAAGAAAAATTCTGGATATCAAATCCTTTGCAAAATTAAGAATCTTGAAATTTGATTCACGAAGAAATTGAACAAAATATTTTTGCATACCTTCTTCTACATCCATTTGCCCATCAATTTTTTCCAAATTAAGTGAGATACACACCTTGTCATTTTGCTCATGATCCCTCATGTGGCGCCAAAACTGTGTGTCTTTTGAAAAAGACCAAAAGATTCACACTTACAGAAGTCTGATTTTTGCCAGAGATAACTATTATTCTGTATTCAGTGTTAGAACACCATCTACAAATAAGGACAAAAGTATTTTAATGGAATTATACTTTTTTTGAAATAATTGTGCCTATCAAAAATTCTCCATGTCCATTTGCATGATTCTACTCTGTTTCCCCCCCGCTTTTTAAGAAAATATACATGGCTCAAATTGTTTAAACTGATTTATTTTTATTTCTATGTTAGATTTCTATCCTGCCTTCACTCCATATTTTACCACAACCATCCTGTAGGCTAAGAAGTAGAGGCTGTCTCAAAGTCAGTCAGTGAACTTCTCTGAGTGTGGATTTGAACTTGTTCTCTCAACATTTTAACCACCATATCAGCATTTGTTAAAAAGACCAAGACAACCTTTAATTTGTTCTGTTTTAAATATTAAAATCAGGGAAACTAATGATAAAAAAAGTTACATTATTAACTGATCAATTCTTCTATTGTAGTCATTTCAATAAGTGTTGCAAGGAAATATCCTACAGGTCTAAAGTTGTAAAGGCCAAGAACAAAATTAAGAACATCTCCCAAATCCTTTTTTTCTTATTTTTCTAGCTGAAAATTAGTAATTCAGAGGGCAATAAAAAATGCTATGAAATATTATATCTTATTGAATGAAATAAATGCTTTAAAAGACCATTTTTACTTACTCAGCATCTGAGTAGGAGATTGGACATTGTCTGAATATATCACTAGCACTATAATTCTAGATTTGAGGTAAGACACATAACAATATATAGTATTAAAAAGAATACACATCTTTCTCTCGTCATATGTGTCTGTGTGTGTGTATATATACATATGTATATAATAATAATAATTTAATAAGTTTTCAGCATTTATTACATCTCTAAATATTAAATTTTATAATTTATTTATCACATTTATATAATTTAACTACTGCACTGAGAATATGCTAGTATTTAAAAACAATCTGCATGTTCATCATTATGGTCTGTTATTTAAATGAAATCCAGTGCTAAAAGGCACACAAAGGCTTATTAAATGTATGATATTAGATGTGGTATCAGGATTCAATCAATAAATAACAATGACATAGTTGTATTATCAATGTTAATTATTCAAATAGTGGTAAACACACAAAATTAACAATTCCCAGCTTTGAATTCCAAATCCAAAATTACTGGAATAGGTATTGATATAGGTTCCTCCACTTCTATGATAGTTACTGGGTTCATATGCATACTAAGCAATGATTTGTTTAGCCATAGTTTCCTGAATAATTCACAACTGACTAACTGAACACATTAAGTTTCCAAAATACAACTGCAGGATTCAAAATTTTGAGGACAGGGCTTTACCATCATGGGAAGTATTAAGAAGCTTTTTAGCCTTTTCAAACTGATTTGCTAAGTTCTACTAACTGAAACTTAAAGTAGGCAGCCTGGTCTTTTTCAAATGTTTTGGGCAACAACTACAGGACAACAATTTGCCTACTTGTCACAGTACTGACAATGAGATATTTTAAGGAAGAAATGTTTTTTTGTCATAGGCTTTTATAACACTTGATTGTAATCAGAGCAGAGTAAATACAAGGCAAAATTAAAACAAACCTCTTCCCTGTTACAACCTATAACAACATGATTGACTTATACCAGACTACTATGCCCACTGGGTAAAACGGGAACTAGAATACATTATGGATTCTGATAAAGTAGTAAACTCTTTAAAGCCAGATTTAAGGAAATAATTTCAAGGTAAATTGGAAAATTACATACAGAAATCAGGGTAAGTTAGAATTATTCTAGCATCTTATGTTGACAATTAGGTCTCTTCACATAATTTGAACTAGAACTAGCATCAGCTCCAGTGTGGGTTTATTAGAAATGTCATATATTCGCTGTCTGAATGTGATCCTGTATATAATGAGCACATACCAGGAAATGTATGCTCACTTGTAAGCCATTGTTACAATGCATCTAGCAAGCGGCTATCCAAAATTTTCTCTGAGATTCTCTGTTCATATTTCAGATGATCCACACCACTCCACACTACCAGAATTGTTAAGTCAATGGAAAAGCAACTTATTACAAATATCCTGTTTGCAGACACCTTCAGCTGGAAATGGAGACTGGATGGAAGAAAGAACAATATATGAACAAGTAAGAAACAGAGATTGTGAGATTAGTATGTTTCTTGATGAGCTTCCAGGCTAGAGCCAATGTATATCTACAGATTTGCTGTTTGAGATATCAACTGCCATATGGAGTACCTTTAGTGCAGCACAATGGAGTAAGAGATGAAGAGGGCTACTGTGGAGGCAGCTAAAGCAGTATATAGGTTCTGATTGGATTGCAACTGTCCAATTTTATATTTCTCACCCTTGTTCTGACTGGAAACAGTTCAAAGAACAGATGTTAAGACTGAGTTTAGTACAAACAGAAACACAGTTCCCCCAGCAACTGATTCCAAACTATTTAAAGAAAATGTGGGGAAAACAGTCTGATGGTGGTGGGAAAGAAATAAAGGAGAATTTTCAATACTTATTTCTGGGGGGGCGGGGGGAGGAACAAAGTGGGAGGATCTAGGAAAACGAATTGGTTAATCAATTTGAGATGTGGGCCATCTAGTAACCCTATAAATTTACAAGGAAGAGGGAAAGAGCATGTTGTGGATTCCTAGTAGTCAGATAAAATTCCGGGCCGTACTGTAATAACGATGGATCAGATGCCAGCTAGAAAGCCGCTGGTTCAGCGACTAGCAGAGCGTCCCGTCTGTGATAAACTATCGGGGATGGGAGTTTGTCCCCCGTTAGCTTTCTTCTCTACAAGCGGGCTAAAACCAGGCCCAACCAGGAAGCTTCTCGGCAAGGGGGTGGGTGGGTTGTGGCTCGTTCACTTTCTCCGTAGCCGAAGTAGGCTATTTATTTCGTTGCCTCTTCACACTCAAAGAACTCTTCCCTCTACTCGACCGCCCACCTACGCAGCTCTGCAACCGGACTCTAACTGCACTGTCCCTAACTGTTCTGGCCGCAGTCACCAGAAGACGAAACGGGGTAGCCCTCCGTCCGTCCCTCCTTCCCCCGCACAAGCAAGGAAAGACGGAAGCCGCCACCCTCGCCCATCTTGTAAAGAAAGAAGCGGACTGGAATGCCACCCCCGCTCCGAAAACAGAAATCAGATATATTTCTACCTACCGCCGGAAGCGCAGCTGGCGGCGGAGGGAGGAAGAGGGACGGACGGTACCTACCGCCGGAAGCGCGGCTGGGAGGGTAGAAGAGGGAACGGACCCAGAGGAGGAAGGGGAGGGAAAGAGGAGGAGGAGGAGGAGGAGGAGGCGGGGAAGTTTCCCCGGGCGGAGAGCCCACGTGACACGGCACGAGGCGAGCGCGGCTCGCGAGCCGAGGAGGAAGAGGCGGGGTAGCGAGTGAGAAGCGGGAGGGGCGATCAGAGCGCAGACATACGAAGGGGAAGGAAGAAGCCTTCCTCGGCCTGGTGTTCTCCGAGAGGGTGGCGACTACAGCCCCCTCCCCCTAGGGAATTTTGGGAGTTGTAGTTCCACTTTGCCTGGAAGGCTGGTTCCTCCCATGCCGAGAATCGAAGTTTTTGGCTGACAAGGAATGATCCCCGGGTCTCTCACAAAGTAGCCCAGCTGGCGAATCTTCCATCATTCTTGTTTGACTTTTGACACCAATACTAAAAGAATCTTTGCCTTATGGTAATACTGCTAAAACTGTGTGCAGGGCTATGAATAAGCTGCTTCAACAGGTTCCGTGGAAAGTGTGGAATGTAAAGGTTTTGTCATTAGTTGTGCTGTGACTTACTGAGATTGCATGAAGAGTTTTCATACCCTTTTCTCTTTCATAGTTTCTTTGTATTGCAGGTGTAACAGTTAACAAGCAGTTGACCCTGGTTAGTTTCTTGATTAGTACAGCAGTTTCATGTGCATCAGTATGCTGCAAGTATTTCCAGGTTGGTGGGATCAGTCAACAGAAAGTTGACTTTCAAGGTAGTTCTGGAGTGACCATCCAAGTTTGCATAGAATAGGGTGAAGAGGAGTGTGGAATACTGGCTAAAATGTGCCAAAATTGACATGTACTGTGCTTAACATACACAGAATGTGGCATGAGTGCAACTAAGGCTAGTAAACTGGTCTGCACTTTTTCTATTTTTCTAAAAAGCCTTGTGTGAAAAACATGATTAACTAAAGGCTTGATGGAGAGCAGAAATCAGTATCTATGAGCCCTTTAGTGATGACCATGGCCTAAGGAAGATTGCCACAGAATATTACAGGTGTAAGTGGTAAAGAATATAAAATAACAAATTACATGGAAGAAACAAAAATAGATACATTGCCTGTCTATGAAACTTAAGAGAAAGGGGAAGGATGTAATAGATCTGAGTGGTCTGGTCTTGTGCAGTGGAGTTGCTGAAAATACATCAGGAAGTGAAGGTGTAGGTTTACTTGTGAATAAAAGGATTAAAATGTATGGCAAAAAGTGTTAATTGATGTAATATAGGTTGTTGTGGGTGCATATGAAAGTAGGACGCCATAGGTTGTGATTATTGGATGTTAAGCTCCAGTAAATGTGATAATAGAAAAACTGCAACATTCTGTATTATTGCAATCAATGTGTGTAAAATATTCTATTAGGTGGCATAGAAACATAGATTAAGGCTTGGAAAAACCTTGGAAATCATCAAGGTTTGTTCAGTGCAGAAATTCATTATTATAGTATCCCCAACAGATGGCCAAATGTTTAAACACCTCAGCAAAGGAAAGTCCACCCTCTCCCAAGGCAGTGTGTTTGCACAGCTTTTAATGTTAGGCATTTTTTTTCCTCATGTTCAATCAATATCAACTTCCTTGTAATTTAAATCTATTGTTTCCAGAATGGATGAGAGGGAACAAGATGAGATAATGTAGAAAAAGTGATTTAGGCCAACTGGAGACATAACAATTAATTAGAATTGTGACTGCAATGGAGGCGAATATGTGTAGCTCAGGGTTGAACTGTGGAGTTCAATCAATGAACTACCAGAAGAGCAAAACAGAACCCCCACCTCCACCAGCACTGGCAAAGCAGGTATAAGTATAGTATAAATAGTATAGTATAGTGCATAGTCTAAATAGGCATAGTATAAATCCAAAAACACAAATGTTTTCATTATGATGATCGATTGAGGGAAGACTGGATCTTGGGGAAAAAGTGGACATGGAAGAAAAGGGAGTAAAAGCAGAATGATTGCAGGAAGAAAAGTAAGAGCTTTGTATGAAAAAGTAGTACCAGATAATTTCCCAACGCAATGATAAAAGTAGACATGAAGAATCATGTGGACGTTGTTGAGAACATAGTGAAAACAATTATTTTGAACAGTGACATAGAAGTGATTAGAGTTATGCTGATAGGAAGTATGAAAAAGGATGGTTGGGGGAAATAGTTTCTGGGTGAGAAAATGCTTATGAGAATGATTAGTGAATAAATGAGGATGAGAGAAAAACACTACAATGTGTATTGAGAGAAAAGGATAGCTGCAAAGAATAGGAATGATTAAGATTAAAAAAGGCAGAAAAAAATGCAGATCAATTTTGACAGAAATAAAAAGTGGGTGAAGAGGCCTAAACCAGGAACCTCCAACAAAGTGAATGCAATTAAATAGAAAATTATTTAGGAGGGAATGCCGGAAGGAGTGTTTTAGTAATTTGAATGGGAATATCAGTGATATGTCAAAGAATGGAAGTGGAATTAATGCTATAAACGATAGTGTTCAAGGAAGAATTAATGAAAAGGAAGACATGAGTGCTGTAAAAACATTGAAAAATGGTAAGTCTGCAGGTATAGCTAGTACAACTAAAGAAATGTCCAAACATGGTTATGGTTTGCTTAAGGAGTGGCTGTACAACTTATATAACATTTGTGTGAAAACTCTGCACTTGGGCTGGACTGTTGGAAGCATGATGTTGGTATTTCTCTTTACAAACAGAATGGTGACAAGATTGAATAAAAAACCAGAGGAGGTTTGGTTTCTTACATCAGGAAATATATTTAGTAGAATTCTGACTGAAATAATATAAGATACAGTGGTACCTCGGGTCACAAACGCTTCTGTTCACGACCAATTTGGGTCACGAACAGCACCGTTTGCAAAATTTTGCTTCCATTCGCGAACTCCACATCAGGTGACGAACAGGATCCGCGCCCATTTTCCCTGCTGTGACACGTGGTCGTGGCTTCCTGTAGGGAGGGGGACTCTCCCTCCAAGCAGTAACCCCCTCCCCACCCTCCTCCCTGTCCCCCCCGCCAGAAGTCGCGTCGCGTAAGGATAGCGGTCTC